CAACGCTTGTTCAGACGTGCAAATTAATACGACTTGTGGTGTATGTGCTTGCAATCTTGCATGAACGTGTTTGATTCTTCACCAATACAAATGTGAATGTTAAGGATAATCGTTATTCATTTGTTTCTGGAATTTCATAAAGAAAAGTGAATCGATATTAGTGTTGGCCAGTGACTGAATTTGTTTACAGACTTTCGAAAAGAAAAGTAAAGTGAATCGATATTAGTGATTGCCAGTGTCGGAAAAGTAAGTACCTACCTGCCTATTTGTTATATGCGTATAGTTTTAAGCCGAGAAAGATTGAACTTATCGTCCCTACTTTATTTTTATTACCTATCTAAAATTCATTTAATTATTGCGGAGTTTTGATATCAAAATATTGTTTAAAAGTTTCTATAGAATTTACAGAAATATATTAAAATATAATAAATGAAATAATAATTTTATATCACAATGGCTGCGTTCATCCGCGCCATTTCAAGGAGCGCTACAAAAGTAGCGATCACTTACGCTATCTGATCGATCTTTATGCACGGATGAACCATGTTTAAAAGTGACATTTGATTTTGGTTTATTCATTTTACTTTTGAGTTGAATGTCTCTGGTTGAAGATTTGTTTGTTTATTTTTCAATTGCTAATATGCTAATATAACCCTACTAGTCCCCAAGAAAACCGTGGACGTAAGTGCGTAAGACAGATCTGTGATCACCGATCAGACGTAAATAAAATGCGCTACTTTTAATGGCGGCCGCTCCTTGAGCGAAATGTCAAAACACACCGTTCATAAGTGCCACTCGAGAGCGCTACCAGATCGATCAGGTAGCATGTGGCGCGGATGAACGCAGCCATTAAAATAAGTTCAGCCGTTTTCATAAAACTCTATTATGGATCTTAACGATTTATTGCTTTTAATAATTAGAAACAGTTTGCATCCGGAACTTTGTTTATTTCATTATTTTTAATAATTGATTAATCATATTATGTTAAAATAGCCATATCCTATTAGTTCGAATCGCCTTAAGATTACTAAAACAAAGTTTTTATTTATTTATTTACTCACACATTTACATGTAGGTAATTGATACAAAACATGGCCGTATCTAAGAAGAAGAAGAAGAAGTGTCGTCAAGTACAGTGTTGTTACCAAACGGGTTATGTTGTAAAAGGACAACACTTAATAAATAATTTCTGATTTTTAAGAAGATTAAGATGGGATATCTCCCTCCATTGGGGATATGTGATGTGTAGTTATTTTATTTCATCCTATGTCCAGCCAGAGACAACCCTATATTTTAAATAATTATAGATTTGAGTTGTCGGTTTCTGTCATTTCATTTTTTTTTGTTATTTATGCGTTGTACTGTTGTTATATGGGAAACAGAATGGGCAGAATATATGTCTTTAGAAACTGAGGCGAGTATTAAAACGCTTGTTTAGGTTAGATTTATTAAGTTTATCTCTTCTCTGAGATGAGTGACGCCATTTCGTTTATCAAATTTATAGGCATTTTATATTCCTATTTCTATTTAAATATAACCGACATTTGCAGTCTCTCCACCAGTTTTATTTATTAGTTCTACAGCTGATTGAAAAGTAAAGCTTCATGTTTTGTGTAGACATGAGTATTGTTTGTTTTATTATAGTTAATTTAAAACAATATTAATCGACCTTTTTAATTACCTATAATTTGTTTCAGATTAGTGCATTTAAAGGAATTGGTGGAAATGGAGCAAGTTGTCAACTTTGGGGCTGTGCCAGTAAAAGTAACATCGAAGTTATTCAACGTTTCCAGAATAAAGTAATAATGAACATCGTCGGTGCATCTTGGTACTGCTACAATACTAATCTTCATAGGGACCTTAAAGTGGAGGCTGTTGAAAATACAATACAAAAATTTGCCTGTAGTCACCAACAACGACTGCTCCAACATGGACACCTTGAGATTATCCAGCTCCTCAACAATGCCAATCTAATAAGAAGACTCAAGAGAACCAGCCTTTTAATTATAAATATTATAATATAAGTATTTGTAACAAAATAATAGTTAAGTATGTATTAATAAACCTATTGCTACTCCAAAAAATATATTGTTTATTGATTATCACGTATCAAAAATATGTGTACCTATAGAAATTTGTAGAAATGTTCTATTGCTCTTAATCTTTTTAATAGGTTCTTATTATAGTTGTAAATAAAAATCAACACTTTTATCCGTCTGTTTAACACTTACAAACGTATGCATATTTTATGTTGTAATAATCCGTAGTCTCTTAATTTTTTACATTAAATCGTGAATATGAGGTAAAGGATTTGGGAGTTGTCTTTCAGTCTAATTTGAAGTTCAATAACCATTTCTTACACATAACTAAAAAAGCAATAAAAGCTTTGGGTTTTTAAATCAGAAATACAAAAAAAATTAGGATTACCACCAAAATCAGATTATATAATGCCTTAGTAAGACTCTATCTTGAGTATGTTTCACCAATATGGATGCCCTTGGAAGCAACACAAATTGATCATATTGAAAAAGTACAAAAAATATTTTTACGATACCTTTATGTCATAAAAAATACTCGTACCCTTATACCTAAGATCTCATATAAAACTATGCTCGATAGTTTAAAAATTAAATCTCTTTTGCAAAGAAGAAAGCAACAGGCTGTGATATATTTTGTACTCTATTTTAAATAATTTTAAGTACAAAGATTGTGATTTGATTGACTATATAAATTTTAATGTGGCAAAGATTAATCTAAGAAACCCAAGTAACAAAAAATTATTTAGTTTAGATCCAAGTAGTATATCTCCTTTTAACAAGATGATGGCTGTTACCAATGAGTTTCTTAGAGACGTCCAAATAGATATCTTTAATGTTAGCCTAAGAAAGTTGAGGACTATACTAAATTAAGTTCACTAAAGGTTTGTTTTGTTTTTGGTTTTAAATTTCTTGTTTCTTAACTATACATGTAACTACTATTAATTTTTTTATAGTATCCAATAAATAAATTATACCTTATGGCTGCTTTCAAACAACTCTGTGTGTAGTCACTTAGTTTAAAGTCAATTTTAAATTAGTGAATTTAATAAGAATGTCAAATAGTGATATGTATTGTGTCTATTAATTTTCTGTGTGTAGTAAATGGCCAATATACATAACTTTGATATTTTTATTACAAGTATAAAAACTACGAAAACCATATACATATAATTCCCATTTTAAAATAAATTCAAATTAATTCATAATAAAAAGTAACGATTTTAGTCTGCCATACTTGAACTCATTCACAAAAACAAGTCACTGAGTATATATTTGTAAAAAAAAAACTAAACTAAATATGTCTCCGTTATAAAATTTTAAATTTAAAACTACATACTTTCCTATAGATTTTGCAGTACCTAAATAACGTATAGAATAAATTTCTACAATATACTAGAAAAGTTTTAGATTAGAGAAATTCTTGAGAAATAAAGCAATACCTCTATTTTGTTACTCTAACCTTGTGTGTTATATATTTCCCTTGACAAACTAATGTTATATTTTGAACTAAAAGTAATTAAACTTTTCACCAAAAAGTAATATTTCACATTTCGGGACGGTGGTGTAGCGGTCTATCGCGCTTATATTCATTTATAGGCAAGTTTATGAGTCTGAGACTGCTGGGTTTCGAATCCCAGACCAGACCATGTGGATGTTTAATTAAATTGCATGGTTCGGTTTAGGATTTGATGTGTGGCGTATTAATAGAAATTCAATTTCTGTTGATATGACATGCAGATTAAAAAAATTCGCCATACATTACCGTCTCGATGATGGTGGGTGAGGTTTTCCGGGTTTTCCTCACCTGTAAGTCAAATGGCACCATCAATCATCTTTAAGTCGCCCCGGAGCGCTACGGCAAATAATAATAATAATATCCGTCCCTTCCCCTACACAAGTCGTTCAGTCGACTTCAAGGGTTGAAATTCACTCGTAAGGGGGTGAATTAGGGAGAGTATTATTATTATTATTATTATTATTATTAATTATTATTATTATTATTATTAATTATTATTATTATTATTATTATTATTATTATTATTATTATTATTATTATTATTATTATTATTATTATTATATATAAAAAAATTTAAAACGGTTCTGTCCTTCTTACATTTGCGAAGACTGCCCTAATATCTAATCTATTTTCTTCTTCACAGGGCCGCTGAGAGCCAGGCCGGGCCCCAGGACAATTCTCTAGATCGGGCCCCTTGACAAAAAAGCTCTTCAAACAAAAACTTTTCCTTCTCTACTTAAATTGCTTTTTCTAAAAAAAAGGTCCTTAACCAAAAACTTTTCCTTCTCTACTTGAATTGCTTTTTCTAAAACAAAATAAAAAAAAGGTCCCCAATCAAACACAAAAATTGTTAGCCAACGGCACAACTACGGCTCGCCAGAATTTCCAAATATTTCGGGATGCAAAAAATATGTGATCCGAATTCAGCTCGGAGGCCGTACCCTAATTCAAAATGTTTAAAATAAACCATTCACACAATAATATTTCTCTTTATAAATCAAACAAAAATTCATTTGAAATTTGATGGAAAACAATACATGATTTTTTCATGCCGTTTTGTAGCCTTGTCTTTCAAAAAATCAAATTACCGATTTTATAACAACTCCAACACAGGTATATAGTCCAAAAATAAAAATATAAACACCACTAAATATTTATAAAATATTAGATTTTTAAAAAACTAATGTACGAACCGCAGCAGAATATTTTCTGTCAGCTCGATTTTTCATTTCGTGACGTCACACCCTTCCTTAGCAACGATTGGAAGAGGCCACCGTGTTGTCTACGAACCGTGCCTCGTAATAATAAAAATGTAATGGTTCTGGTTTGTCGGGCCAGTCCAATACTGCGTTTTAAACCGTACAGTGAACGGAAAGATGACTGCCTGGTAGCAAGATAGCATTGAATTGAAACCCAGAGTAGACAAAAGCGAACACTCGATATGAGTGCTACGCTACTTATAGTACTTATTTTTTTTTCTTTTTCGCTTCATTAATCAACGGAATTGCCATCTCCAACGAGAACAAAGTGGTCATTGAAACAAGAACCACCACAGCAACACGTGTTAATAGTTATAGGTACATGTCAAAACAAAGACGATATTTCGTTTATCCACTCAAATATGAATTTTAAAAGTAAACTTTTAACTAAATAAAATTATACACAATAACAGACTGTTTATTTTAATAGGGTTTTAATAGAGTGGAACATGTCTAATCGTGGTACTTTAATATTATTAGTGATATGCGGGTTTTTCTTTACTGACAGTGTTGGGTTCGGTGCGGATTTGGGGGTTCTAGATATAATCAAGTTGACAAAGTTCGTTGTGGAGGGTATAGGAAAGGCTTGGAATATCGTCGATCAACGGGTGGATTTTTCTAGTATTCCTATACCGATTTTGGATAAGACTGAAGCAAAACTTTTTGGAAAACTCGATGTAATTACGCTGAAGATTGATGAACTGGCTGTGAATATTGAAGGGGCAGGTAAGTTTAGAATATTGTTTTTATTTGAAAAAGAAGATACCTACCCATAGTATTTAATAGTCAATAAATAGGTCGAGAGATGGGCGATAATATGTTTTAAAACTGTTATAGGGTGGTTTAGCTAGTAATCGGCAACTTTAGATGAGACTCAAATTGCTCACTTGTTTTCCAACTTAGGATGCTAGTTCTGAGATAGTAAGAAAGCACAACTATTAGACCATTATGTGTTTACAAAAAAAAATAATGTAATTAATTAAGATAATACTATTTGTTAATTTTTAAAATAAAAATGTGCTTTTTTCTAGTAGTCGGCCAAACATATTATGCTAGATGTCGGCCAGGAATATCCTAGTAGTCGGCCACCAATAAATTGAAGCAATTTACTTCAGATCAGTACTTACAAAATTTTACTGTAACAATTTAAACTAAAAACATTCTTATTCAATCGCACATTTTTTGTAAAAATGAGATAAATGGGTAATAATAGCCAAAATTGAAAAAAAAAAGATTTTTTATATTTAAAAAATACAGGAGGATAAAAATATAAAAATTTACGAAAACATACAAAAAAAAAACAAACAAAACTGAATTAACCAGTCAACTATCTTTTTCTCATTTTCTAAGCTTCAAAACAGGAATGGACCCATTTTTCGAGATTTTTCACTAACACGTCCCTTATTTCGGTCCTGAAGTGTTGACCGAGGAACCCTAGATAAGTATTCGTAGCCCTGGACCTTCTTTAATTGAACAAAAAACTGTTATAAAGGTACCATTTCGGTAGGCGCGACAGACGACAACAGAGGTGACGGCAAAGGCGACCGAGAACGGTCTCTTCACGTCTGAACACATGCAATTATATGAAACACATTTCACAAAGCGCGACACGTCCGAGAGACAGAAGTCGACACTTTAGATCGGTCTCGGGGCGTTTGCCACTTGTCGCACTTAGTCCTCACTGCCCTCAGATATCGCTTGTATTTCGCGGTGATTAGTCGATATTTTATAGAAATGGTAGCTGGAAAGTTCTTTTGATCTAGGCAGTGTTGCCAGATGAACATTTGCTGGAACAGTATGGGTGAAAAAAAAAAACCGTAGATCTGAACAGATTTTAATACAGGAGGAAATAATTATAATTTGCAGTGAGGTAAATTTAAAAAAAAGCAAGTATATAGAAAACGAAAAAAAAAAAAAACATTTTTCTACCCAAATTAGAAAGTAAACAAAGAATAAAAACAAATAATAACATTTTTAATATATACTTAACGTACGGAAACAAAAAAAAAATCGATGAAAAATAATAGGTACCCACTTCTTTTAGATCAGTCTGAATCAGATAATTCAAAATCGTTGTTTTTGGCATGCATGTTCTTTTTATGAAGCCCTATTAATTCTTTGTTGCATTTTAAATAAAAACATAATGATCATCTTGAGGTTTTTTTATGGAGCCAACAGCCAACCTAATTTTACTTCAGCAAATTTACTGGAGAAAATATTCTTTGATCATTTTCTGAAGAATGAGGCAAACTTAATAAATTAAGAACAAAATTTGCTAAGTTGGCGAAAACAGTAGATTTTATGCCTAAAACAGAAGAACAGAGACAAAAACAGTGGATCTACTTGAAAACAGTAGGTCTGGCAACGCTAATCGTTCCCTCGAATGGTTGTCTGCGGGTGTCGCATCACCTGTCTCCTTGCTTCCCAAATGTGCGGAGCGCACATACTTTGATTACTATACGAGGCAAGAGAGAGGTCCGACACGCCCAACATAGGGCGCGGCCATTTTGAACCCTGTGACACAGTTTACAGCTAAATAATCAGATCGCTCACTCTGCGTCGGCACTTTTGATCTCAATGTTTCAGTTTATACACTGTGCAACTCGGATAATACAATATATGACAACCGCCTATAATAAAACAGCAGTCTTCTGCGTATCCTGAATTTGTATCCCTGGAGTGGATGTTATTTTGGAACTTCCAACTGGTCCGAGTGAGCTAACTGATTCTTTAGCAATAAACTGTGACTTCAAAAATTATATTCACTGACACTGACAGCAGCAAGCAAAATATCAGGTGCGTTTTAATCATCCGCTTCTGCTTTCGGAATTATCGGTTTAGTCGTTTTAACCTGTCAGATTAAAACAAGAAAACCGACAATTCCGAAGCAGAAGCGGATGATTAAAACGCACCTATTAAAAATATTGCGCCAAGATGTAGGCAACACGTAATAAGGGTTCAAAATGGCGGAGTTTTCTATCTCCTTTTAAAAGGCACTCTGAAAGCTGCGCAGTGCGACTATTCTCCGTATAATAAAAAAAAATCAAAGTATGTGGCGGAGCGTAACATTAATGCATTTGTCGTCCTTGCCGTCGTCTCTGTTGTCGTCTGTCATCTGTCGCGCCTACCGAAATGGTACCTTTAACCTTGTACATTTGTTGAGGGAGAACTCAGTAACGGCTCGTTAAAAATGATTATAATTAAGTATCAATAATTCAGGGAAATGATTGTTTTTCTTTAAACAAAAAAGTCCTAAAAAATTTGTGTTTGTTTACAGGGGGTTCTATTAACAACCTAACCATTTAAAACAAAAAACATAAGATACCATTAAAAAAATGCCATATGTCACTTTGACAATTTTCACCTCACACTGAAGACTGACACAATTATGAAAATAACTGTTTAGTAATGAAAATGACTTTCTTGTAAATTAAAAAAAAACTGAATAACAAATCCGAAACGACCTAACCTGCAAACGAATGTTGATTGATGAATCAAGTAGACATGGGTAACGCAGCGCTGCGTTGCGTTATTGCGTTAACGCAGTTGTATGCGTTATGAGCGTTGATACACCAGCTGTTACTGTATCAGCGCAACGCAATTTTCGATTGAGTCGAAAGGATCGCGAGTTGTTGGTGCGCCATGCGCCAGGCACTGATTGCGTTTTCCGTGACGAGTTGAAATTTTTAATTTACGTAATTCGTAATGTAGATTACCCAAAATCTATCAAGTAATTATGTTCTTTGCAACATGTCACATCATTCTTTGTAGGATTGTAGGTCGAATTTTGTGGATTTTAACCTTGTACACTGTCAGTTTTTAGTTCTTCCCATTTTGATTGACTACTAGTATGTAAAAGTTATATCCTTTTTATATAAATTGAAATTTTTGTATTCTTTGTAAAATCCGAACACAATGAAATAAAAAATGGGTGCATTACACTGTTATATTTTCGTTTATTTTTAAACATATAATTTAGTTAAATTCCCAATTGCTTTATTGTCTTGAACACGGTTTGACCCTTATAAAAGGACAGCCCGCGCTGAATAACACCGGTATCATGCGATACACCGAGGTGCAACGACTTCATTCGGCGCAGGCAGTGGTGTGACGCAATAACGCAATTGCGTTAACGCAATGAGTTGGCGCAATAGAGTGCGCCGGAGTTAGTGTGTCAACGCAAAGAATTTTAGTGCGTTACCCATGTCTAGAATCAAGTATTTTCGCTGTCATATCGGCAACCTCGTGAAGTGTTGCCAACATTTAAAAGTTAATTTTTCCTGCACGTTAAGTTTAAATCGTATTTGCTCTTTGATGTTATTCCGTTGGCAATAGAAATAACTAGAAAAGACGTCACTGTCTTCTTATTGTAAAAATAGTATAAACCAATAAAAAAATATATGGGGTTGATAACAGTGTTTCTCAAATAAAAAAAGTTACAGGGCTGCGAACATTTATCTGGATCACCCGCTATACTAATATTTGTTAGATGTTACTGATACAGTTATGAACTTATGAACTTTTAAAAAAATATTTCCCAATTAGAAAATCAATTTTACTAGACTAGAGGTACTATACCTATAATGTAAAGTATATATAGCTACAATAAGTTGAGAGGCATAATACATATTGGCATATATGTAACATCAAAGATCTAAAAGTTATAAAAATTATTAAAGGAATTTTAAAAAACTGACTCCAAAATCGTGCAGATGCCATCACAAATGGAGTTTGCTGATTTTATTACAGATCCCATCATCAGATCTTGACCAAATATATATGAGACCACCTCCGAGGTACCCCCTTTCTAACAAAAAAAAAAAAAGAATCTTAGAAATCGGACAACGTGGTAAAGGCTGCACAAACCTAAAATAAAATTCTGACGAACTGAGAACCTCCTCCTTTTTTTGTCTGTTGATTATCACTGAACTACATAAAAAATATATATTCCGACGAATTGAGAACGTCCTTCTTTTTTGAAGTCGGTTAAAAATGCGTTTTATTTAAAAAAAAAATAAAATAGGATTCGAAACAAGATTCTTGACCAATACGGTTCTGTACATAGCGGTACCGTTAACAAATTTTATGATTCAGTTCATGGACCACACATATCTACAACTCGGTATCAACATTCTTATAGATATGTAGATATATACTTAAAAATAGTGGCGCAACTAAGGGGCCCCTCCTTCCACTTCTAATATTACTAATTTTGTTATAAATAGTACGAATACACTAATTTCTATCCGAAAAATATTTTTTTAATACTTAATATAAATGTTTGAATGGTAAATTTTATTGGAGTAGTTCAAATGTACCGTTTATGTCAAAATAATTTCTACGACACTTTAAGGGAATAGTTCAAATGTATCATTCGTAAATTGATCACTTCCAATGTAGGTATAATAGAGAAAAGTGATGCACGTAAACGTGAAAATTATCAGCTACGCATGCCTTACATGCGTATTTAAATATCCTTCACGCCTACGTCTTCGAGCAATGCTCGAAGGCCTACGTACATACGGGTTCTGGCGTATGCACGAAACGCAAACAAAATGACGTATGTTTTAATTGAAAAAAGGAAAATTCTAATAACTGTCATTGACCGTCATGGCACATAAATGTCAAAATGCATTTAACAACTTCAACAAATATGTTTGTGTTCAACATAAGCGTCATTTTTGCGCGTTTACGTCTACGTTAACGTACTGAAAACACTTCAACTC